ACAAAAAGATTCCGTGGTATCATAAAACTCACTATTTTATTAAGTGTTTAAAAATATTAAACATTTTAAGTGCCATACTAAATTACTTCTACTTCTTGAATGTTACCACCTTAAGCAATTCATAATGGCTCAACTACTAAATCCAAATTCAAATTTTAACCATTTTAAGTAATTCTGTGTACACACAATTAGAAAACAAAATATTCATCAGAAAACCTGCTACATCACCCAACGGCAGCCAGACTGAGTGAGCAGTCACCAGAGCATAAAAAGGTCTGTGGGTCTGTACTAGATAATGTGACACCTGGATCTGCAGGGCCCACTGAAAACCTGTCGCTCAGCCTCTCAGGACGGCCAGGGTGGGAAGGCCCTTGAGTTATGAGGACTGGGATTAAGTCTGTCTCATCCACTTACTGCGCGTGTGGCTCTGGGTAAACCCTAGGTTTCTGCATCTATAAAATGTCAGCTATAAAGTGTCGATGTGTGTAAGAAATGTGTGCCCAGTAAGAAATAAAAGACGGTACAACTGTGATTCACGTTATTACATAATGCTGACTAACTCGCAGGGGTTGATGGAGAGAACCATTACTTCACGTAGCTTTTCTCCCTCTGCTTTCACTTGTACGTGTGCCATCGTTATCTCTGAATCTCACGTCCAAATTTCAAAGACTGGGCGGTGTACGTTTCCCTAAAGCCCAAGGATCAAACTGTCAGCAGGAATCCCCGAGGTTTATTTACGGATCCATCACCAAAAATCCAGTCGGCTACACTCAGGAATGTGGGAGGTGGGAGGTGGGTAGGGCTCACACTCACGCACTGTGTATCTGTGCAAACTTGGTAAACACTGGACTGTCTTTCACATGCCATTTCATGTATAAGCCCCGGTAACAAGTCTGAATTTCCAGTGAGTCCAACTTTTCAGTGAAGCCCAGCAATTAAGGAGCTAGCAACCCAGAGTTAACGAAAAAAACAAATGAGCGCGTTTATACACACATACCTTTGTCCTCAGTGAATCTACACTCTGGTTGTACGGGCAAGGCATAAATACGTACACTCACTTCCTACCCTGCCAGGAAAATGGGCACCTCCCCACATCCGCCCCCGCCCACTGGTCCTGCCCGGCCGCCTCCGCAGCACAGCCAGGCCCGCCCGAGTTCAGGCTGGTCCTCCCTTCTCTCTCTCTCGGGAATCTTACTCCATCAAGTGCTCTTTGCTCACCTATACTGTCCCATATAATCCGCCTCTTAGCTCGATCTTTCCCATTTGCTTTATACACTTAAGCCTGTCATTTGATTAAAAAACAAAAAAGCAGACAAATCTCTCCTGGTTTGGAGGGGGGGGGAGGGAAAAGCTGGTGACCTGCATCTCGGTGACCAGCCCGGGGCTGCTACAGTCAAGCGTGTGACTGCAGCCAGCTCTCACTACCCAAGGGCTGGGGGGAAGCCAGTGGGCGTGAAAATCCAGCCAATATTCCACTAGCCACGCCACATACCCTAGAGAAAGGGCATCTCATTAGTGTCACAGGCACCCTATGTGCTCGGGTCCCCAGGAATATCAGCCACCCACCTGGCCACTTAGGCAAACCAGAAGTCCAGGAGTCACCTGGGACACCTTCCTCCGATGGCTCCCAGACCCAATCCACCATCAAACCGTATTGACTTTACCTGCAAAATCCATCACAGCCCCACCCACCTGTCCACAGCCACGCCCACCACACTAGGGTGGAGTCCCCAGTTCCTCTTACTGAAGGGCAGTGGTCTCTCCCACCATCTCCAGCTCCCTTCAATCTGTGTGCCTGGCACACAGTAACCTCCTCTTGTTCTTGGGGTATAGACCAAGCTCCCCCCAGTGCAGCCAGCAGCCTTCAGGCAGGAGGGCCCCGACTCAAGCTTCCCTTCCTCAGGTAAGCCAGTCATTCTGCATCCAAGTCAAATGCCTGTCACTCAGGCCACAGCACCAGGCACTGCTGCTCCTCTTCCTAACAACTGTGACAACTGCACTTTTCCATGCTTTTGTGGTTACCTGCTTAACATCCATGTACCCCACTGGCCGTGGGCACCGGGCACAGCCTTGTCACCTCCATGTCCCCAACACACAGTGTGGCGCCCAGCCTACCAAAAGGACAGCCACTCTTTTGGATCAGTCAATAAACATGAACAACCAATTCTGTGGCCCACATTCTAGGGAGGATGAGATAAAATATGTAACCAAGCACATGAGCACTAAGGAAACTCAAACAAGGGAGAAATTTCCTATGAGTGATTTAGTAAGTTAAAAAAAAAAAAAGAAGAAGAGGTGGAGTACCAGAAAAAAAGGGGGCCTTAAACTACTGGGTACCATTCAGAGAATGGCATGAGATTAGGATGCTGGGGGCGGGGGCACGAGGAACAGGGGAGGGGATCTGGGGCCGAGGGGAAGGTGGGAGTGGTGGCGGGTCTTCAAAGAGCAAGTGAAAACTTTAAACTGTAGACCCAGGAGCTGAGACAGGCTTGAATCAAGATTAATATGGCAGAACGAAGCCGGATGCAGGAAGAGACAAGAGTCCTGAGCTGCTTCGGAGATGGGGCAGGTCAGCAGTAGCGCCCCACCTGGCCTGTCTTTCACATGTGGACAGGCCCGGTACCCGGCCGAGCGGAGGGGAGGAGAGCATCCTGGGGGACCGAGACGGGAAGAAGCCGTCCATGGCGGCGGCAGAACGCTGGGACTGTCGCGGGATGCTCTTCCAGGAGCGGTGGGCAATGTGGTATTCAGTTTACCCTCGAAGACCTGAACGGAATAAGAATTTCATGACGCAGCTCAATGAAAACGAGAGCTGAGGCAGGGGGCCCAGTCACCGAGGCATCCGTCAGGCGTCTGTCTTCCTCCCGGGGTGGGGCCAGTGGGGTAGAGATTGCCATTTCAATTGACCAGGAGTTTCAACCAAACCAGGATTTCAGGAACTTATCCTAAGACAGCGTCCAAGACTTAAGTCCTAGAACGGGGGAAATAAAGCACAGATTCTGTCCTTGTTCTGTTGTCTTATTCTGTCTCCTATCAACTCCGCCCTGACCGAGGGGAGAGGAAGAGCCAGGGCTGCACTTCTAGCTCATTGTCCTGGGGCCTTTCCTCCGCACCTCCGGTCGACCAGCCCGAGGCATCTCACGGAGGACTGAGGGGCCGCGTGGTGTCTGTGCAAGGAGGTCGCAGCGATGGCTGGCCTCTCCGCGTTCCCGGGAGCCGTCCGGGGCACTGGCCCCCCAGCAGCGGGGAAGCTCCGGCGGGGAAAGGGCTGGGGTGATACATTTGGGTTTTAAGTTTACAACTGAAACCACAGGCTCCACCTCCCCACATGCACGTTGCGGGGAGTCTTAATATAAAAACCTTTCTTTAGTTAGTGGACTAAATAGATTCCAGTTGTCCTAGGAAGCTGCAATGGACAGTTGAATTGAAGAGGAAACCCAAGTCAGAGCAGCAAGAGACGAGGTGCGACACAGCCGACACGGAAGTCAGGAGAGCTCCTGGTCTAAACTAAAGTGTAACACTTGGAATAATTAAATTCTGTGTTTTGCAGGTTATACACCCACCACATAAGGAAAATCAGCAGTAAAACAGGGCGGGAAAGTAACTAGCACTCAGTAAGTGCTCACTACGGACCGAGCACTGGGCCAGGTGCTTCACACGCATGCACACGCATGCACACGCACGCACACACACACATGCTCCCTCCCCACAGCCACCCGGAAGCAGCGCCTGCCCATGTTTTTGTAGATGAGGAAAAGGAAATCAAAGCAATCAAGAAACTCTGCAAATCATAAAACTGGTGAATA